GCCCAAGTTAAGGTGGTTCTGGGGAGACTGCTTAGAGCCCCCCCCCCCCCAACTCCAGGGGTAAAAACATGCACAGATAATTTTTGCACAAAAGATCTTTTGGCATTCGGGTCATGCCTGCAAATCCAAACACCATCTCGTGCCTAAAGATAGTTTTTTGTACATATGTCATATATAATAATATTGCAAAATGGTAAAATATTTCTAACAGTATTTGCCTCATTATCACATAACCCAGAAAACATAAAAAATGCACAGCAACGTCCACTTTACTGCTACGCTTGTTCATGTGCAGAAATAGCTTCAATTTAGGTCATTTGTTTTTGATGGCCTTTTCAGGAATTTGCAGTTAAAAGCAATGCAAAAGTACTGGGATTTTATCTCACTATATTTATTACCACTATTTTCTATTGCCAATTGTACTCCAGGTAATAACATGTTGGTTATATGAATTTTCTTGTCAGTTTGAAAAAAAAAATCTATTAACATTATACCTTAGAGATCTATGGTAACATAAAAATGTATCTCTCCATAGGTTTCTGTCACCAAATCTGAATGTTTACGAAATAGAATGGACACTTTTGCAATTGCATTACTAATGCATAATTGGTTATTTCAAGCTGAAAAATGTACAGCAATTTCTAAAGTTTCATATTTTACTTTTCACAAACGTTAAGGACACAAGCAAAATAGTTCAAGACGTGGTACATGCCTACTGGTTTGCCACTGTTCTGCAGCTAGCACCACATTTTGTAAATCAATAAAGGTGTTGTGCAAGAATTACACAGTTGTAGGTATAGTGCTAGGGATAATATACTGGGGGACAATTCAATAAAGCATTTGCAACACTTTTCTGGCAGTGTGGTCTCTAAGACCCCTAAGGCTCCAGATTTTGTCTGCTCCAGTTTTAATAAATTCCCCTCTATGTGGTTTTGGGGGCTGACCACAGACTGAGGAACGAGTGTCTGCCGACACGCCAGCCTCTAAATCACCCCCACCATTCCTCCATGCAACAAAATAATGTACCTGTTTCCAACAGGTACAAGAATCTGAAGCAGGCACTGACAATTGTAGTGCAGATACACAACACATCTAAATAGTGTCTAACTGTCTATGACACTCCTTATGACATCCAGGTATTGAATCTTGTACAGGCCCAGAATAGTATTCGGGAGGGCTAGCATGCCTGGTAGTATTTGTAGGCTAATGTGAGCTATGGTGATGTGCCCAAGGCCTCTATACATTTTACCTGTTAGCTTTAGCAATGCCAACTGGGATTACTACATAAAGATTACCAATATGTTAATGAAAAATGGAATAAAAAGGCAAGTTTGTCTTTATGACTTGTATCCGACAAAATAAAAAAAGTATAAGCGTTACAAGCTCCATATTCATGTCACATACATATGAAGAGGGCCACAGAGCTAACAAATGAAGTACACAGTATGTTGTTTTCCCAACCTGATATTAACATGTCGCTGTAACAAGCGCTGGCTGTAGAGCCGGCGGATCGCGTGTATGGGGTGCCGATCGGTTCCCCCCCCTCTGCCCCCCCCGCCTACATCTAAGAAATGGCAAGCTACAATATATACATTTTTTTCTTTGGTTCAGAGAAACTTTACACATAGAAAGTCTGAC